ACGGGACTCCTGGAAGACCCGGAAGCCGGCGGAGAGGTAAGTGTTTTAATTACTGATCAAAAGAATTTGAATCAATCAAAAATATTAACGATTAAGCGTTAATTTCCGCAGATAGATATATATCTATCTACCCTGTTTCCCCGAAAATAAGACCTACTCCGAAAGTAAGACCTAGCACTATTTTTCAAGATTCCTGTAATATAAGACCTACACCCGAAAATAAGACCTAGTTTGGTGGTAGCATGTGAGGGGGAACTTGCAGGAGAGATGGTATCTGCCTGCAGGGACATACTGTATTAAGGGGATGACAGGGGACTCCCTCCGGCCAGCACAGTGACAGGGAGCACTCCAGTACCAGACTTCACTAACTGCTTTCCCCCTAAAGGCACTGCTTAATGTAATGGTACTGTACTGTAATGTGTACCGGTAAATGGTACCGTACTTTACCGCGCTGTCCACTGTCTGATGTCCCCACTGCTGCACCGCTGGTACCACTGTCCCTGGTGGCAAAGGAAGCCGGCTCTGTAGAAAGCAAGGCTGCGGAGGCTTAGGGAGCAGAGCCGCATTAGCCGATATTCTTCTAGAGCGCCAGTTAATGTGACAGGCGGAGCGATACCAGATAACTTTAGATTGTTGTACATTAAAAAAAAATAAGACATCCCCTGAAAATAAGACCTAGTGTGGTTTTTGGGGGCAAAAAAAATATAAGACAGTGTCTTATTTTCGGGGAAACACGGTATATAGATATAGATAGATATACATACAGTAAATCACTGCGTAACATGTCAGCACTATATAAATACCTGGCATAGCATTATGCCTGCTTTGAGGTTATCTCTCCACCTGCCCAGACAGGGGTATTACATTGAATATAAAAAGGAGTACCATATTGATTAGAACATTTTCCAGCAAGAATGCACTACCAAATGCGGCTCTTACCGTAATAAACCAATAAGAATTGAGCCTGTAAATCATTTTTGAAAGGAATCCCAGTTGGCTGGCTGGAGCCAGAACATGTAGATGTAAATGGGATATCGAGCAGAAAGGAGGCCAGTGGAAGCCTAACCTAATATAAAAAGGAGAAAAAAAAATCAATGTATAGTTAACATTAGGAAACACAAGGATGTCTAATGCAAAGCACTTTGCAGAAGATGCTTACTACAGTATCGGCAAATGTTCAACATTTAACCCCCTATATACCCATTGTCCTACTTTATAAGATGTACTATATACTAGGGTCCCTATCTCATAGGCACAAATAGGGTCAATTTAGACAGGAGACAATTAACCTACCAGCATCCCTTGTTACATATTTTAACAACTGTCAGCACATTTTGCCCTACCATGCCCTATTACAGATGGTTAGGAGTAGCCAGACATATTTTATGGCTATTAATATTAGCTGAATAAAACTGTGCCCATGAAAGCTTTTTAAAACAAAAATTAAGAAGTATTTTTTCAAAAGTCAGGATTTCATGATCTGTTTAACCTTTTTTTAACCAATCCCCCAGAGGCAAGCTTTGTAACGAATCCTGCAAGGGGAGACAATCTATTCCGCAATGGTCCTGACAAGTAAAGAAGGCAAGAACGCAGGTGCAGAGGTCTCAGTATTAGAGCCCCTTAGGCTCACAATACACATTGCAATCTGGCCATTCGTATGTAATATGAGGACCAACCTAAACTATCCATTCAAGTTGTATCCAGTCAAGCAGACCCTTGCACTACATGCTTGTTGGAATATCCAAAGGAGACTGCAGAATTAAATGTTAGCATGGAGATACAAGAAGCCAAGAGGAGAATTAACAGAGCCCAGAAATACAATAGGGATACATTGAGATGCTTTTTTGGTCTGGGAACAAACTGTTCTGGTCTGGACATGATCCGGACATGGTGTGAACAAGCCCTCTGCTGTGATGTGTTCAGTTTTGCTTTGTGCATTATTGTGCACTGTTTTAAATTCATTTGACTGGGCTGCCTAAAACACCACAACAGTCCTAAAATAATGTATGCAGCATTGTCAGCAGTGTAGCCTAATGTGTGGTAGTGCATCACTATGTGTTGTGATGTGCTACAGTGCAGGAGAGTTGGGGTGCCAATCAGAATGAACGCATGTAACAGCTTACACAATGTCAAATAAACAGGATTACCTGATATCCTCCAAATTTGTGACATGATTTTTCTGTAGAACGTTCTTCCCAACTTCTACCATATTCATAACTAGAAGAGGAACACAAGAAATTAGTGAACATCAACAAAAATAAGATAAATGATTCCTATTAACAAACAGTTTCGCAAAGTATACAAAGTTTTTACTGACACATGGGGCGGCCATAGCAATTCCTGTGACACAATGTATAGCCCTCATGGCAGAGAGAACTCTGTGACTGGAGAACAGGCAATGGACATTGACAGTTCACATGACCGGGCTCTGCTCTCCCCCCCCCCCCCCCTCAACCCTTTTCAGTACAAAGGCAAAC